CATCTCCTTCCTTCTGTTTTGAATGAGATCCTAGAAATCTACTCTTGAAGATTCTATCTTGTCCTAGTGGAGCCTGAGACTTCTTCCTTACCTGGCTCTGAGTTGTTCCTGCTGCCAGGCAGATAGATATGCAGGAAACCGCTTGTTGTGCAGCTTCATTGTCTATCCATTGATGCTCTTGCTTGCTTGGTTGGGTTTGCTCACATTTTGTTTTGTCAGTCCTGGGGCTTGAACTCTGGGCCTGGGTTCTGTCCCTGAGCTCTTCAACTCAAGGCTAGTGCTCTACCACTTTGAGCCACAGCGCCACGTCTGGTTTTTCGGTGGTTAATTGGAGATGAGTCTCACATTCTTGCCTGGACTGGCTTTGAAACATGATTCTCAGATCTCAGCCTCCTGAGTAGCTAGGGTTACAGGCATGAGTCACTAGCGCCTGGCTTTTTGTTTTTGCCAGTCCTGAGGCTTGAACTCAGGGCCTGGGCATGATCCCTGAGCTGCTTTTGCTCAAGGCTAGCACTTTACCACTTAAGCCACAGTGCCACTTCTGGCCTTTTCTGTTTATGTGGTACTGAGGAAATGAACTCAGGGCTTCATGCATGCTAGGCAAGCACTCTGTCACTAAGCCACATTCCCAGCCTTGCCCCTGTTTTCACTCTTTATCGTTGGTCTAAGTCCATCCATGGCAGATCTGGTATACTGGGGCTCCAGACAGCTGAGGTGACCTTAACAGGCATTGGGGAGCTTGTCAGTAGAATCTTCTCTGGGAGTTTGAGCACTAGGTGGTCACACCTAGATGTACACATACTAAGCGAGTATTCCAAGACTTCCTGCAGTGAGGACAGGGTGCCAGAGTCTTCCACTGACCTCCAACCTGTAGGGGTCCCAGGCATGCTGAGACTTAGGCACATACCCACTAATCTGTCTTGACAAATGTCAGGAGAAATCTTTTTCCTGGAACCTGCCCAAGGCCTTGGGGGTGGTGCTCTGCAGAGTGGCTGGGGCAGCATGGCTCTGGGTGGATGTGGATGCCAGCTAGACATACAGAAGGAGCTAGAGACTGGTCAGGAGTCAGGGGAGGTAGCATCTACTCACTGATGTGTTTCCAAGATGGAGTGGTCTGTTGAACTGGTTGTTCTTTACTGGGATGAAGTGGCTGGGTATGACACACAGTCAGCTAGCGTTTTGATTAGAACACTCTGTAACCCCAAGTTGACACCATGTTTTGCTGAGTGTTCCGCAGGGATGAGTGCTCACCTCTGACACTTTGCACAGCAAGGTGTTCTGGGATTACCTGAAAGTCAGCAGGGCTCAAGTGCCTTGGAAGCAGTGGCTTCTCAGGTATGTGCTTGGTTACTCTCTGGCTGGGTGCCACTGTCCCTCAGCCTCTGATGGACTTGAGATATGAAGGAAATCTCTCCTGGGACACTCCCATTTGGGAGTGGAGCCCTTTGTCCCTTCCTATCTGGGCAGGAGTGGGGTGGGAAGTTACTTAGCAAAGCCTTTTTTTTTCTTCCTTTTTCCCCTTTTGTGGCATTTTCGGGCCAAGTAGTATAGTCTGGCCTTGAATTTAAGGTCTTCCCACTTCCAGTTCCTGGGATTATAGGTGTAAACCACCATTCCTGGCTTTAGCACTTACTTTGATTCCTGTGTGATTTGTATGAGAATTATTCAGCCTCTTGCTTGAAAGGCAGCCTCGGGCTTCCTAAAGATGTCTTAAAGTGCTGGATCCTGCTTGGGAGAAACAACTGCAGTGACCTCCTTTTCACCTTCCTCTCCTTTGAACTTGTTCCAAGGGGAGAAATTCCACAAAGAGCCTTAATAGGAAACCCTGTGTCTGTGATGGGCATGCCTGGCTGCTTTGAACTTCTTGCAGGCTGAGCTCTCCTCTTCACTTTCCCTCCCTCCTCTCTCCCCTTTCAATATTTTATATGTATATTTGATGGTACTGTGGATGAGCCTAGAGCCTCACAAATGGTAGACAAGTGCTTTGCCACTGAGGTATACCCAGTCCCCTTGCTGAGGCTTCTGGTGGGACCCCAGGGAGCAGCTTTTTCCCTAGTGCACAGTTAAATCAGGGTTTGTTATTTAATTAGAAGGTATTGTCTGAGTCTAAACCAATGCCAAATAAATAAGTGAAATTAAAAGTAAAGCATTAGGCTAGCTGCTGCTGATTACTCATACCTATTATATTAGCCTAGATATTCAGGTTGCTGAGATCTGAGGATCATGGTTTAAAGCCAGCCCAAGAAGGGGCTGGGAAGGTGGCTCAGTGGTAGAGCACTTGCCTTGCATGCCTGAGGTCCTGGGTTCGATTCCTCAGCACCACATAAGCAAAAAAGAAAAAAGCTGGAAGTGGCGCTGTGGCTCAAGTGGTAGAGTACTAGCCTTGAGCTGAAGAGCTGAGGGACAGCACCCAGGCCCAGAGTTCAGGCCCCACGACCGGACCAAAAAAGAAAAAAAAAAAGCCAGCCCAAGAAGGAAAATTGATGAAACTATCATAAAACCGGAAGTGGAGCTGTGGCTCAAGTAGTAGGGCACTAGCCTTGAGCAAAAAAGCTCAGGGACAGTACTTAGGCCATGAGTTCAAGCCCCAGGTCTGGCATTAAAAAGTGTCAGCTCTAGCCCAGAAATGACAACAAGAAGGATTTGTTTATCACATTGTCCAGTAAGGAGCCTGTTTTTTGTGGGGGGAGGTGGTGGTGGGGGCAGTCTTAGGGCTTGAACTCAGGGCCTAGGCACTGCCCCTGAGCTGCTTTTGCTCAAGGCTAGCACTCTACCACTTGAGCCACAATGCCACTTGTGGCCTTTTCTGTTTATGTGATACTGAGGAATCAAACCCAGGGCTTCATGCATGGCAGGCAAGCACTCTACTAAGCCACATTCCCAGCCATCTTCTAAGTTTGCCCTTAGTCTGTTACTCTCCTGACTCCATTTTATTTCTTCCTTTTTTTTTTTTTTTTTTTTTTTCGGTCGTGGGGCTTGAACTCTGGGTCTGGGCGCTGTCCTTCAGCTCTTCAGCTCAAGGCGAGTGCTCTACCACTTGAGCTACAGTGCCACTTCCGGTTTTCTGGTGGTTTATTGGAGATAGGAGTCTCACCGTCTCTCCTGCCCGGGCTGGCTTTGAACCGCTATCCTCAGATCTCAGCCTCCTGAGTAGCTAGGATTACAGGCGTGAGCCACCAGCGCCTGGCTATTTCTTCCATTTTTGAAGGGCAGCTGGGGAACTGGGATCACCCTGGGCTGAACTGGTGACGACCTTGTTTTAAGCATCTTTACTAGGTATTCCTGTGCTGTGGTCACTGATGTGTAGCAGTTTCCTGTAGTGTGCTTGCCCAAGACAGGCTAAGTGGCTGTACTTTCTATGTCTCTGGGCTCTTACTACTAGCCAATATGTAGGTGATCTTTATGACTTAGTGTACTCTCTCCTAGAGAATTCAGAGGTACATGAACTTGGGTAGAGGAGCAGTGACATTCCAGCTCCCTGAGCCAGTCTGACTAGCTAAGGACCCGTGGCTGCTTTTCACTGAAACATTTCATAGAGATGGCTCTACATGGGGACCTTGTGGGTTAAAGTTTGATCCTGCCTGGTATACAAGTATCCCTGTGAGGCTTGGAAAAGGAAGGTTTCCTGGCAGACAACTGGTGACATCAAACTAGAAGTAGATGCAGACAGGCTGAAGCAAGCCTCATGATGATGATGGCTCATTTTGTGTTTGACTGGATTGAGGGCTACCTAGGAGATTAGTAAAGCAGCATGTTAGTGGTTTGCTTAGTCGATGAATGGACTTGTGAGCTGAATACACTTATTGGAAAGTAGGGCCAGGTTGGAAGGTCAAGGGATGAAGTGTCTTTGAGGGGTCTGTCTTGCTCTGTCCCTTTCCTGTCTGCCTCTGCTTCTTGGATGCCATGGGGTGAACATTCTCACCTACCACACCATCTCCACTATGATGTCTTGCCTCACACAGGCCCACAAACATGGAACCTGCTTACCATGAACTAAACCAAAATAAACCCTTCCTACTCTATAACTGTTTCTCTCAGGTCTTTTGTCAGAGCAACAGTGTCTTAACACATGACAAGGAATGTGCAGCTCTGCATTTAGGTTTGCCTGACACAGATGGAGAAGATTTTGGGTTAGTGGGAATTCTACATTGGTGAGGCCTCAAGTGGAATCCTCAAATTGCCTAGTACACCTTTCAGCCTATGATCATTGATGGGGCTAAGGCCCAGCATTGCATACCCCTATCTTCACTTGGTTAGGCTCATGTCATCTAAGTGCCAGGAAGAAGCTGGGATCAGACTGGCCTTGGGGTAGATCTCCATGCACAGTTTACAGGGTCCTTGTGTGAGTGATAGCAGCTCTCCAGATGACAGTCCTGGGTTGTTTGTGGAGAAGTCTGGCAGGTGGTGGTTCTTCCTTTTTCCCCACCTAAGTTGAGAGCTACTGCTCAGGGCTGTGTATCCTCTGAAGTGGCTGGGTCCACCACCTCTCCTGGTCTCCCAAAAGGGCCCTTGTTGCAGTGATGAGCAGCTGTGCTCTGTAGAGTTCCTCACCTTAGCTGCTTTCCTTCTTTACCTTTTGCTCTGCAGGCCAAGGGTGGCCTGTGGTAGGCAAAGAGCAGGGTGGGTTAGCATTAGTTGTCCCGGAGTCTCTTCTCACTAAAAGCCTCCTCCCATTTGTAGGTATCTGGAGAAACAGGAACACTGTTGAGCCTGTGCTTCTGTTATGCTCCCATGTCTGTAGCACTGTGGACAGAGGCTTTCCTTTGAGCCCATGCTGATGCCCTGTGCGTGTACAGTAGCTGGTCATCTCCAACACTACAGCTCTTCTGTGTCTGTTTCACTATTTCTTGCCTTCACATAAAAAATCTTTAGTGATCTTGTGTGTTGGGTTCTGAAGCAGATAAACAGACAAGATGCTCCCTGGCATCTGTCCCCAAGCCTTACCAAATACAATTCATGCTTCTCACCCTAAGTTCCTTGTCTCTCTCCCTCCACCAAAGGGTAAGCTTGTCGGCCACGGACTGCTACATTGTGCACGAGATCTACAATGGGGAGAACGCCCAGGACCAGTTTGAGTACGAGCTGGAGCAGGCCCTGGAAGCCCAGTACAAGTACATTGTGATAGAGCCCACCCGCATTGGTGACGAGACAGCACGCTGGATCACCGTGGGCAACTGCCTGCACAAGACGGCCGTGCTGGCGGGCACCACCTGCCTCTTCACCCCATTGGCACTGCCCCGGGATTATTCCCACTACATCTCCCTGCCTGCCGGCGTGCTCAGCTTGGCCTGCTGCACCCTCTATGGGATCTCCTGGCAGTTTGACCCGTGCTGCAAGTACCAGGTGGAGTACGACGCCTATAAACTGTCCCGCCTGCCTCTGCACACGCTCACCTCCTCCACCCCAGTGGTGCTGGTCCGGAAGGACGACCTGCACAGAAAGAGACTGCATAACACGATAGCATTGGCCGCCCTGGTGTACTGTGTAAAGAAGGTTTACGAGCTCTACGCCGTATGACTGCAGGAGAACAGGACGCGGAGCAGAACCACACAGCCCACAAGAGACGAGAGGACTCAGATCGCCACAGCAACACTTTGGGCTCTGTGAGGCGGCAGAGCCTGGGAAGGTGTTTGGTTTCATACTTGTTATTTTTTAAAAATAACACAGATCATGGGTATACCAAGGGTTTTTTCAGCTCATTACACTAAGGTATGGATTTCCATAACCCAGGACTGGGTCCGTGGCTGTGGAAGTCTGACTAGGTGGTGGAGTGTGGATGGAGGCCAATGCTACTGATGGGTGTGAACGCGCTTGGGGGTGGGGGGATGTCTTTAAGTGTATTGTTTAACTGCACCATTCAGAGCCAACCAGAAGCTGTTGACCATTAAAATTATGAGAATTTCAACTCTTGCTGTTCTCTTTCTATGCCTATGCCTGTAGCTGCTGCTATATATGTATGGGTCATGACCTGTTTATTGCTGCAATCCCTTGTCAGCATTTGTGGTGAGGACAGGCCTAGGTCTCAAATGAGGCCCGCCAGTCTTACAGCTTGCCTTGCTCTCATCATTGCCAGCACTGCTGATGTGCTGCTTAGTCAAAGTAAATTAAGGTAGAAATGCCACAGGGGCTGGCTTCCTTTGGTTTACTTGGAGATCTTGGGTCCAGCCCTCCTCCAAAGGTCTGATTTACAAGGACACAGCTAACATTTCTGCCTTTTCTAAAGTTGTTCCTGATGAAGACAGAATTCATTCCCTGGTCCCAGGCCACAGGAAGAGTCCTCACAGCAGTCTGTGAAGCATCCTGGCTGGGGGGCTGCCTTGTCCACAGAAGCCCAGTTCTTCCTGTGCTTGTCCCTTATCAAAAAGTGGATTGTGTAGTCTGGCATGCTCCCTTTATCTCCAGCTGTTCCAAAGAGCCATGTAGCAGGGTGTGTACATGGGTATTGGCTGCCACTAGCACCTGGTGCAGTGTAGCACTTCCAAAGGATAGAATTTAAGACACACCAGTTAACTTTCACCCACTGTATAGACATGAGAAGTCATGAAGGGGTGCTTACCAGGGATGCAGAGGAAGGAAGGCGTTTTTGGTAGAGAAGATCCAGAGCTTTAAAAAGATTGTGGATCAAGTAGTAGAGTGCTAGCCTTGAGCAAAAGAGCTCAGAGACAGCAGCCAACCCCTGTGCTCAAACCCCAGGACAGGCACCAAAAAAAAAAAAAAGTAGCTCACGACCCCAGCAAGTTTTAAGAAACTTGAACTTAATCCCAAGGGTCTAGAAATGCTGATCGCTCAGTTGAGTGCTTGCTGGCAAGAAGACATTGGGTACATATTGTTTATGTGACAGATTGGTCATTAGGAACAATGAACTGATCTGGCAACAGGTAGTCCCAAAAGGCCCTATCTCCTTTGTGTAGGATGAGTTGAAATTAGTGCCCACGACCTCTGGTACTTGAGCACTGGCTTCAAGCCTATGGGCAGACATAGCATGATAACAGGTTTTGTAACAAATGCTCTGTGTCTGGCCTGGCCTGGCCTTGTTCTTTCTGCACATCAGATCTCATGGAGGAGGTGGCTGGGGCCTGACAGGGCAAAGACCTGCAGTCAGCTGGGCAGATGCCCTCGTCCAAAATAGTAAGCAGGCGCAAATAGCGGCTTGTTCACCATTCCCTACGCTGCACTAAACAAAGAGTCTTGTGTGGACTAACCCAGATTCTTAGATGCTATCTTGGTTTTCTGGCCAGGGCCAGGTGGCAAGTCCAACAGGACAGCAATAGGTATGCTTGAGTCAAGGTTGTGGGAGGGGAAGCAAATGTGCATCTGCCTACCTCCCACCACGACCAGCAACCCCCACATAGTTTCTAGTAAGTACCTTCTACTTTTCGGTGATAGACCACAAGGCTTCATACAGCTTTTTCCAGTTGAGAAGAAATAAAGGCCACATGATCTGGGTTATCTTGTGGCAAGGTAACCCCACGGGTCAAGACTTCCTACCCCAGTCACTTTCAGAGCAGCAAAGAGGTCTGCATTAGAGGACAGCTGACAGGAACTGGGAAGGGCTGAGCTTGGTGAGCTTTTGCGTTTGTGTCTCCTCTGCCTCTGGGCTTTAGATTTCACATCTGGCTCATGTGCTGTGAGCCTAGGGAAGTGTGCACTCTCCATGCACTGTACACTGCACTGAAAGCTATTGAGGGGTTGCTCTCTGAGTCAGGAAACAGGTGCCTTGCTCCTGCCCACAAACCAGACCCTAGAGCAAAGTGGAAAACAAAATTTATCAGGTATCTGAAAGCAGAACCAATTTTTTAAAAATCACACTTTTAAGATCTAAGGGGCTAGGAATATGGCGTAGTGGTAGAATGCCTGCTTATCATGCATGAGCCCTGGATTTGATTCCTTTGTACACCCATAAAAAACAACAAAAAAAGTTATGGCTGGGCACTGGGCACTCACACTTTAATCTACTCAGGAGGCTGAGAGCTGGAAGATTGATATTTGTTGCCAGCATGGGCAGGAAAATTTAGGAGTCTTATCTCCAATTAAATAGTAAAAAACTATTGCAACTATGGCTCAAGTTACAGAGTGCTAGCCATGAGCAAAATGGCTAAGGGAAGGGCTGGGAAGTTGGCTCAGTGGTAGAGTGCTTGCCTTGCATGCATGAGGCCCTGGGTTCGATTCCTCAGCACCACATAAGCAAAAAGAAAAAAGCCGGAAGTGGCGCTGTGGCTCAAGTGGTAGGGCACTAGCCTTGAGCTGAAGAGCTGAGGGACAGTGCTCAGGCCCCACAACCGGGCCAAAAAAAAAAAAAATGGCTATGGGAAGCTGGGCACCAGTTGGCTCAGGAGGCTGATCTCAGTTCAAAGCCAGCCTAGACAGGAAAGTCCATGAGACTTCTCTTCAACAAACCACTAGAAAACCAGAAGTGGCTCAAGCGGTAGAGCACTCGCTTTGAGATGAAAAGTGCAGGGACAGCACCCAAGTCCAGAATTCAAGCCCCACGACCAACCCAAAACAAAAAACAGCTAAGGGAGAGAGCTCAGAGGTCCTGAATTTAAGCCCCAGGACTGGCACAAAAAAAGAAAAAGGAACATGTTCTATCTCTGCCCCAACTAAAAAACCATACGGAATCTCTCCCCAACCCCATTCCCAACCCCCCAAGAAGCCAGGTGCTACCTCAGAACCTCTGCCTGCGTGGCCAGTTTCTGTGGACTTCACTTTCTAGGGGAAGCATAGATCCAGGCAGGGACTCTACTGTCTCTATAAATTCGTCTTCAGGGCTGGGAAGGTAGCTTAGTGGTAGAGTGCTTGCTTAGCATGCATGAAGCCCTGGGTTTGATTCCTCAGTACCATACAGGCAGAAAAAGCTAGAAGTGGTGCTGTGGCTCAAGTGGTAGCATGCTAGCCTTGAGTAAAAGCAGCTCAGGACTGACCAAAACAAAAAAAAACAAACATGGGGAACTCCTCCTGGTACTAAGGCCAGCTTCATTAGGAGATGGAGAATCTTCCATTATGCATTTACCAGTTTTGCACAGTGAATGGGTAATCACAGAACCTGGAAACATGAATAATAATTTCCTAAGCCTATGGCCATCTCCCCTGAGCAGAAAAGGTGGTCTTGGGTAAGTCAGACATGAGAAAATAGGTCCATTGCTAGCACATCTGATGCCAAGGCTGAAACCCCATTTCTAGGTGCAGGTGGGGCATGAATGCAAAGGACACAGTCCTTGAGGACTGACTCTTACATTCTAGTCATTTATTTCATATTTTAGCGTTAAAGCACAGCTCCATGTTTATTCTTTGTTCGCCACTCACCCCGGGAAGAAGCTTGCTGGTTCTTGCTTCTAGTTCTCTGCAGCAGGCCTGAGTCCTGCAGACGTGTCTCTTCCCACCTGGGAGACAGACCTCCACTAATATGCTATTCTTGTGGAGCAAGCACACCCACAGAGGTGTGCTGCTTGGCCTGGCCAGGCTGGCTGGAGCTGTCGGCTCTGACCAGCATCAGGAGGTCTTAGTTTTCTGCTCTTTTTTGGCTCTGGAGGCCATGATTCTGAAAAAGAGCTCAGGAACCAGAGTTCGAAGATAAATGGCCCAGGATGGCAGTAAGTCAGCCAGTATCACATCTTTCCTCTTCTTGCCCACAGCAACAAGAACATTCCGGGCCACCATTGTAGGGCATTGGCCCTGGGTTGTGGTTTTGTCCATAACTACAGTAAACAAAAGAAAAGGGACATGTGAACTTGGGAGACAAAGATCCCCTTGGAGGACTTGAGCTGACATGACCCCTAAGCCAGCTTGCTGCAGTCCCACCAAGAGCTCTTCCAGAGTTTGGGTGTTTTACAGGCAGCATGCCCCATCCCAAGTGGTTTTTATGCTTTGAGGAAATGCAGAACTATTTTGCCATTCTGAGTGGAGATGTGGACAGGATGTGAGGACAGGACAGAGTAGGGACCCAGTTGGTGTTTAGTGGTCTGTGGCAAAAGCAGAAGGCTAGCAGAGGTGGGTGGCCCTCAAAGAGTGAGCCCTTAATACTATTTCTGTGGAGCTTCCTGGCTTTGGAAAAGTTTGCCTTTAGGAGAACCAACGACTAGAGGATGCTGTACCATCTACTATGTGTTGTAGCTGGGCTTCAGAGGGAGACCATTTGACCACCAGTGCACCAAGTCAATAGTAATAGACAGTCTCAGCTCCTGATGTCAGGTTGTAGTTGAATGAGGGGCAGGGAAAAAACATGGGGTTTGCTGTAGGTGCTGAAGGAGGTAGCTGGGAGGGTTAGGAAGTACGAGGATAGCAGCTTTCTCTGCTATTGATCTAATAATTTTGCCAGTAAAGCAGGAGCAGTCAGCAGCCCAGAACACCATCGTAGCTGTCCTGATACCCGAGCTCCCTCACTGCTGTTTGCCTCTCACTGTGTTTAACAGAGAACGATGGAAAAGTTTCTGATTGCTGCTTATGTGCCAGAAAGAGAGAGAGCTGCTTCAGCGATATCTTCCAGGGATAAACAGCCATGGAGTTGTCTGGCCTGCCTCTGTAGCATTCTGTGGCAGGGACACTGCCAAAGAGGCCTCGACAGTCTTAGTTTGAGCCTGACTGGGCAGGTACAGGACTGATAGCCCTGGACAGTCACTGCAGTATAGACCATCAGGCCCATACCAAGCTTAGGAAGTCAAAGCTGGCTCTAATAGCACCAGCACTTGGCCAGCTGATGTGAGAGGCAAAAACCACAGTGGTAACTGCAGGTCAGCTCAGAGCTGCCTCAGATTGAGGTTCAGAGGCACTGCACCATACCCAGCCTCACCTCTTAAGGCTGGCCCTGGATAAGGACAATCTGATGAGCCCCTCCACCCTCTTGCCATGAGATTAACTTAGTCCTAATTGTGCTAACATGTGCTAACATGTGTTGTGTAGCATTTGAACTTATGTCCTCTGCCTTGCAGTCCTCTGCCTACAGAGACAGTATTCTGAATAAAAGCTATAGTGGAGATGCTTAGGTAAGGGCAGTTCTTGGTCAACCAATATCCATGCCAAATAGTTTTGAAAATTATATTCCAAATAAAAGTAAACAACAACTGAGGTAAGAGCAGCATGTCTCTGTGGCTAACCAATAATTTTTCATTAAAAAAAAAAAAAAGCAGCCAAGCACCAGTAGCTCACACCTGTAATCCTAGCTAATCAGGAGGCTGAGATCTGAGGATCTCCATTCAAAGCCAGCCTAGGCAGGAAAGGCCATAAGACTTTTTTTTTTGGGGTCCGGTCGTGGGGCCTAAACTCTGGGCCGGGCACTGTCCCTCAGCTCTTCAGCTCAAGGCTAGTGCTCTACCACTTGAGCCACACCACCACTTCCGGCTTTTTTTTCTTTTTGCTTATGTGGTGCTGAGGAATCGAACCCAGGGCCTCAGGCATGCAAGGCAAGCACTATTCCACTGAGCCACCTTCCCAGCCCCCCATAAGACTCTTATCTCCAATTAACCACCAGAAAACTGGAAATGGTGCTGTGGCCCAAGTGATAGAGCACTCACCTTAAGCTGAAGAGCTCAGGGACAGTACCCAGGCCAAGAGTTCAAGCCCCACAAATGACAAAAAAAGAAAAGAAAAGAAAAAAAGCAAGAAACCAGCCTTACCTCCATATTTGGAGCCATCAGCAGTGATAGCATTTAAGGAGAGGTTGGTGTGGATGTAACCGGGGCTGATGACAGTCACCTCGATCTTGTCATGCTCCGTCTCTGCACGTAGACAGTCAAAGAATGCCTGGGTGGCATGCTTGGAGGCTGCGTCTGCAGATGTGGACAGAGCCAGTGAGAGCTCTGGCATGATAAGGCCCAAAGCCTGGGCTTAGCAGTTAAGACTACAGCATCATGGCAGTGTTCACGTCCTGACTGATAGCTTTCCTGTGTACTTGTTCTTAGGAAACACTCTAGTCAGGAGATAAACAGCATCATGCCTCTAGTTTCCTCTCATATGGCTCAGAGGGGAAAAAAAAAAAAAGAGCTGGACGTTGGTGGCTCACATCTGTAATCCTAGCAACTCAGGAGGCTAAGACCTGAGGATCATGATGCAAAGCCAGCCCAGGCAGGAAAGTCTGTGAAACTCATCTCCAATAAGCCACCAGAAAATTAGAAATGGCACTTTGGCTCAAGTGCAGAGCGCTCACCTTGAGCTAAAGAGCTCAAAGACAGTGCCCAGGCCCAGAGTTCAAGCCCCACAACCAACATGCATAGACAGTGAATGTGCTACTGAGGAATCTGCATGAATGGTACATGGGAATTGTTTTTTTTTTTTTTTGGCCTGTCCTAGGGCTTGAATTCAGAGCCTGGGCAGTCCCTGAGCTTCATTTGCTCAAGGTTAGCACTATCACTTGAGCCACAGTGCCACTTCTGGCTTTTTCTGCGGTACTGAGGAATCAAACTCAGGGTCTCATGCATGCTAGACAAGTACTCTACAACTAGGCTATATTCCCAGCCCTATTATAACTTCTAAGTCTAAAATTGTTCCAAGTTTAAGGAAAAAAAGATGTGAGGACTGCAGTTCAAAGCTAGCCTGAGCAGCAATGTCCATGAGACTCTTACCTTGAATTAACCACCAAAAAGTCTTAAGTAGAGGTGTGGCTAGAAGTGGTAGAACACTAACTAGCCTTGAGCACAAAAGCTCAGGGACAGTGCCCAGGCCTTGAGTTCAAAGCCCCAGGACCAGCCAATAAAAGGCTGATGGAATGGCTCAAGTGGTAAAACACCTGCTTAGCAAATGCAAAGCACTTAAACCTCTAGTAATACCAAAATTTTTTTAAAAAATTGCCAGGTGCCAGTGGCTCACACCTATAATCCTAGCTACTCAGGAGGCTGAGATCTAAGGATCGCAGTTCAAAGCCAGCCCGAGCAGTAAAGTCTAATCTTCAATAAACCACCAGAAAACCAGAAGTGGTGCTGTAGCTCAAATGGTAGAGCACTAGCCTTGAGTTGAAGAACTGAGGGACAGCGCCCAGGCCTAGAGTTCAAGCCCCATGACCAACAACAACAACAAAAAATTACAAAAGCAACAGTTTAATGTGTACTGAGTAAAACACTCAAATATTACAGAAGGCCATAGAGTAAGAGTGCAGAGCTACCTCTGCCCTCAGCAACAGTTCCCCAAGCTGGTACATGGAAACTGGAGACTCTCTAGTGATGTCCTTGGGGACCAAATCAGCTATTGCACAAAACAAGTTTTCTCCAACTGAGAGTCCTAAATGCTTCATCAACCAAGAAAATATGGAAGGAAAAAGAAAAGAAGTATCATCCAAGTCAGGATACATCTGGCAGAGGTCCTGGGTTGAGTGAGCAACTGGTGATAGGTGGATGGAGACCTCCTATCTGCCATGATTCCAGGGGCTGAGCCCCACCCTAGGACTGGGCAGAAGGCCTCAGACATAGGCTCCCTAAGCAGCACCAGAGGGAGATGAGGCTGTTCTCCAGAGTTAATACGTGAGAAGGTTGCCGCTCACTGGGTGAGATTCAGCCAGATTTGTTCTGGTCACCACACACCACCTGGATCATCTACATATGTCTACTGCAATCAGTAATTAAGAGAATAAGTATCAGCCGGGCCCTGGTGGCTCATGCCTGTAATCCTAGAGCTCCTCAGGAGGCTAAAATCTGAGGATCATGGTTCAAAGCCAGCCCGGGCAAGAAAGTCTGTTGAGACTCTTATCTCCAATTAACCACCAGAAAACTGGAAGTGGTGCTGTAGCTCAAGTAGTAGAGTGTTAGCCTTGAGCTAAAGAGCTCAGGGACAGCGCCCAAAATGAGTTCAAGACCCATGACTGACAAATTAAAAAAAAAAAGGGGGGGGCGGCTGGGAAGGTGGCTCAATGGTAGAGCGCTTGTCTTGTATGTATGAGGCCCTGGGTTCGATTGCTCAGCAACACATAAGCAGAAAAAGCCGGAAGTGGCGCTGTGGCTCAAGTGGCAGAGTGCTAGCCTTGAGCTGAAGAGCTGAGGGGCAGTGCCCAGGCCCAGAGTTTCAGGCCTCATGACCAGCCAAAAAAAAAAAGGAAAAAAGAGAGAGAATAAAAATCAATGGGGGATTCGGCCAGGGATGAACCAAACCAAACCAGTGGGATTTAGTCATTGGAAATAGTACAAAGAACTCTGCATATCCTTTACTCTGATTTCGTAAACAGTTCACCTCAGTTGCTTTGTCTTTTGTGATTATACACAGGACTATTTTCCCTGAGCCATATGAGCAGCCTTCAATGGCACCCTTTGCTGTCTTAAGTTGAAACAGAATACTGACAAACAAATAACTGGATAAACAATTACGGATGCATTCTTTCTGATTACAAAGGGCTTTAGTTGTCTCCTTTTGTCTTAGAACTAACCCTCGGAAGCATGGATGATCACTAAAAACCTCAGGTCAGGAAAATTCAGTGACTGGTCCAAGGACAGTCCAGGACACAACCAAAACCAATTAGGAAAGCTGGGGTCAGCTTTTATTCAATGGCTGGCTACAACTATCATGGAATTGTCTGAAACAGCTCAGCTCCTCTTCATTGACAAGGCTGTGGCTGCCCATGCTGTCAGGCCTTGGAGGTAGTGACAGCAAATACAACTGTCCCATGTCGGTGCTGCCTTTCAGAATATGAAATAAAGATAAAATTTACTATAGTAGCTCATGAAATTAATTTTTGTGTGTCTGATTTTTTTCCTGGTTCTCTCTCTCTCTCTCTCTCTCTCTGTCTTGAAGCTTGAACTCTGGGGGCCTGGGCATTGTCCCTGAGCTTCTTTGCTCAAGGCTAGCACTCTACCACTGAGCCACAGCTCCACTTCTAAAATTGTATTTTTGTGTGTGTGCTGGTCCTGGGGCTTGAATTCTGGGCCTGGGAACTGTCCCTGAGCTTTTCTGCTCAAGGATAGCACTCTCTACTTGAGCCACAGCTCAAGGACCATTTTTTTGGTTGGTTAATTGGAATAAGAGTTTCATGGACTTTCCTGCCTGGGCTAGCTTTAAATCATAATTCTCAGATCTCAGTCTTCTGAGTATCTAGGATTACAGTTATGACCAACCAGTATCTGGCCAAAACTACTTTTTAAATCTTTTTTTTTTGTCAGTCATGGGACCTGAACTCTGGGTCTAGGTGCTGTCCCTCAGCTCTTCAGCTCAAGGCTAGC